ACAGCATAAAAATCTAATTTAATAAAATTAATTCATTTTACAAACATAACTCTAAATAAGACAATGGCATTTGACAAACTGTAAAAATATCTACAGAAGTCTGACACTACCCGGGTTCCATGAGTAGTGATTCCCTTTATTTTTCAGGCATTTAACTCACAGCCTCTTCCCATGTACATTAGGAATCCAAACTAACACTGAAAAGCCCAGAATACTGTTTCACTTTTTAAGTAAACTGAATTTCAAAAAGCAAAGGAGATGGGAAACAATCAGTTTTTTAAAAGGGGAGGAATGAAATGTCAGACAGAGGAAAGACAAATACAGTATGATCTCACTTCCATGTGGAATCTAAAAACAAAACAAAACAAAAAAACAAAACTCATAGTGTCAGAGAACAGACTGGTAGTTGCCAAAAAAGCTGGGGGTGGAGGAGTGGTGAAAGTGGTCAAAAGGTACAAACTTCCAGTTATAAATCCTGGGGATGTAATGTACGGCATGCTGTGTAGCCTTTTTTAAAAAAATAAGAGAGGGGCACACTTCTGAATTATTACCTAATTACTATCTACTGTTAGTTAATTTTCTCACCTCAAAAAATAATGCTATTAGAGTAGGGGCTTTCTCTGATGCCCCATAATATTCCCGGGTTCCATTTTGAGTATAAAATCAGTAATAAGAAGTCTGAGGAAGTCTAATTAGTCAAGGATTCTGCTTACCTTTCACTCTCATCAAAACCACCCCCCTCTGGGATGGTTGGCAGCTCAGGGACACTATAGTAGCTGTTGTGGAGGTTCTGGGCTGTGCGCCTTGAAACAATCCAAACCAATTTCTTAAGATCCGGTTTGCAACACTCGGGAGAAGAATATTCGGCTAGGCATTTAGAAACTAATTCCCTCCAGTAAATAAATTCGGTGTCATTAACCTGAAAAAAAGTATTTTAAAGAAAAGGTTACAACAGTGGTCCCCCAAATCTTGCTGCACCTTGGAATTACCCTGCACTCCTCAAAAAACGCGGATGCCTGGCTCCCATCTCTAGATATTCTTATTTAGTTGATACGGGGTGTGACCTGGGCATCAAGATTAAAAAGGCTCCCTGGGTGACACTAATGTGCAGTCAAAATTTGGTAAGCACTGGTTTAGGAGAGGAGCACCTTTAGTTTAAATAATTTACACAGGATTCAACGCATAGAAAGTTTTGCTTATTAAGAAAACACACTGACCTAAAAACACCAATTCTGTTAAAGAGATTCTTTTACACTATCCTAGTGTAAAGGAATTTAATATAATTTAGGTTTCTGTAACAAAGCATTGTTAGGATGGCTAAAAAAAAATATATGTATATACATTAGGAATCCGACATACACTAATAGAGAAGTTAGCAGTATGAGAGAAGAGGAATTTCCCCAACAGGGCTTAGATCCTCCACTACTGGGGAATGCCCCAATTTACTTCAAGGAATCAACTTTCCCTGAAAATGTTTCCAGATAACATTACTATAAAAGGTTTAGATGAAAACTAACAAATTTGTGATTAAAACACAAGCTATAAGTTATCTGTTAAAAACAAAATAATTAAATACTTTCACCACAAAGAGAATTTATTATCACCTTGGCCTCCATTTCCACTTAATCCAGCTATACGTCTTAATCCTCTTGCATTCTGGCTTCTACCACTCCTTTCTCATTCTACTGACATCATCTCTTAGGTATCCAATGACCTCCTTCAATTCTCATTATACTGGGCCTCTCATCAAAATTGATACTCTTGACTATCTCCTCCAAAATTGATACTCTTGACTATCTCCTCCAAAACCTCTTCCCAACCTGACAGTGTTCTTACTTGTCTAGCCTATCTTCTTTCACTTGGCTCCTGATGGGAAAATGGCCAACAAAATCCAGTTTCAACTAATCTCTCAACAAAGGACTCCCACAAGTTTCTTATAATCTCAACTATTATTCCATCGTAAGAAATTTCAAATCTTGAACGCCAGCTATGGTTTATCTTCTGAATTTTCATTCCAGACTGCCAAATATCTGCTAGACTTCTACCTCCCTGGAAGGTAAAATCATACTTTGATCACAAATCACCTTCTCTCAAATTTCCCTTAACAGTACCAATATTCTCTCCATTGGTAGGTCCAAATCTTGGTCCTTTGTGACTCCTTGCCTCATTTCCATGCTTGGCTTCCACACCACTATTTGACCTGGATATCCTCACTCCCGCTTGGGACTATCACCCAGATATTCTATCTACAAGCCTACCCTAAAATATTCCCAAACTCTCTAGTCTACCAGCTTTCTGGCCATAAGCCTTTGCTGCCCAAACTTTCACTGTCTAAAACTCTTTGGGTTCAACCAGGCTCTCGGTCATAGTGCCTCTCTCGGTCTGCCTTACTTCTCTGCTAACAAAACCCCAAACTACTCCTCATATTCAGTATTATCTGGCACTCATACACAGAATAATAAATGACAAAACGCATCACCTCATGTTAAGTTCCACATACTCGCAATACTACTACTAGTTTAAGAAAAAGGACTGTGCCTTTTGTTGTTTTACACCTTTTTATGACTATAAAAACTTACTGGGCTATCCTATGGGGTTTTTTTCTGAAAAGAAAAACATAACTATTATTTAGGTAATGCTACTAATAGGATGTTTCAGCCCTAAAGATGTAATGGGAGTGTATTCACTAAATCTACTTCTTAGTATGCATTTGAGAACAGTACGCATGGGGTACCATGGACCACTGTATTACCAACTGCCAAGAACACTTGGGAAGGAACATCTGAATGCAGAAAGAAGCTAGGCTAAGTGACTGGGTTCCCTTCTAGCTTAATACTGTCTGAGTCAAAGCTGCATTTTGAGAACTTCAACGCTTGAGATAAAAGAAAAAACGAGTATAAAAGTTAAGAACTCCATAAACTATTACTCAATGTTTAAGTCGCCACAGAGAAAAAAAAAAGTCAGAAGGAAACCTGCTTTACACACTAAAACTGAAGTTATTTACCTTGGAATGTTTTTTAACAAGCAGGAGAATTTCCAATAATTCAATGGATTGCAACGTTTCTATTTCCAAATTGAGAAGGCACAAAGCTAATACAGATGGCTACGAGAAAAAAAAGGAAAAAAAATTGAAATTCAAAATCGAAACTGTGAGACATACATAAGCAAGAAATTGACTTACTTTTGCTTTTGAAAAGGTAAGTCGGCAGTTGCAAGCTTTCAGCTGAGCTTCTAGTTTATCAAGGCTCAGTATTTCTTTTCTATACAATAGAAAGGACAAAATATTTGTTAAAATGTCAAAGATTTAAATGATTTTAAGGACTTAACATTAAAAGACCAAGTCGAAAGTTTGGAGGGGGTAAAAATATAAATTTCATTGGCATTCTAAATCTTTACTGTTAACTATAGCAATGCTAAAGTACAAAAATTTTTATTTTTAAGCCCACTGACCTTTCTGAAGTATGATAAACTACAATAGTATGGTATAAGTGCAAAAAGTTTAAGGCAGTAGTAGCTTCCAATTCATAGTGCAATTTTTCTGAAATTATTTTTTCCATCCGTTTTATGTCAGAAGCAGTACATTTACATTGACTAATCCGGATTACATCATGAGTAGATGGAACATTGCATTCTTCTTCAACTATTCTAGCAGCCAGCAAAAAACAACAGACTCCAATGCAAGACAAATGTTTAGGTTTCACCTGGAAAACAAAAAAGGCTCCTTCTAACAACTGTCACTTTGATTTAGCAAAGCAGACACTTAAAAGAATATTCTAATAATGCCCCTACTTTTAAGACAGAACACAATCAAGCTGCTTACCCTTATCACAGTAATCATTTTCACAATTTAAACTGCCTTAACCACCCTTAAAAAAACAAAATGCAGATTAAAAAATTTTAATGCAAGTTCAACAGCTAGGGGTTGAACACTGAGTATACCTTGAATTTCAAACTTATGAAATTCATAATAGTACAATCTCTCCCAAAATAACAGAAAGCTTTCAATATCTAGAAAATATACTACTTCTTTGAACATAAAAATAATACATTCCACTGTCTTCTTACCCTAATTACCTTTAAGAATTATCCCATACTTCAATGGAAATTAGCTAAGGAGAAACACTACATCAGTTGTGCAGAGGAGAGCATATGTAAAAGCTGACATGGACAGATGGCTGCCCTTTCTTTTCAGTGCCCTGAAAACTGACCCAGCAGCTGACAGTAATCCTATTGGCAGAATAATCACCACATTTTTCTAACAGTTGCTGGTAACTGTTAATAAGACTGTGGCTCCCTGCTTTGAAGACTTCTCATAGGAAAGGCAATAGGTCACCTTTAACATACCGTTATACTTCCGCTTGTTTCAGTATTAAAAATATCTAGGCTCCAACAAAAACATGATGAGACAAAAATATGAAAACCTTATTTTGAAGACTATACATCTCTAAAGAATACCTAAAAAACAGTAGTCTTCCCTTTGTCACATCTTCGAAGAGAAGGTATGTAAGAGGTACAGGAAAACCTAACTTAAAATACAATACACTTAATTTTGCAGTCTTTTAACTTGGCACTCAAGATAACAATTCCGATGATTAAAAGTGTTTATGGATAATGACGTAATTACATTCACTTGCCAAATATTTATTGAACCCTTCTATGCTGGGCATTGTACTAAGCACTGGGTATAGAAAAGTGAAGACGTATTATAAGAATAATTAAATACCTTCATAAGAGCCAAGAATCTGTCCAAAATATTGACAGCCAGAACAAAAGTTTCAGTGCAAGATCCAAAAAAGTTGGTTAAGCTCCTTAAATCTTCTACTTTGGTATTTCTCAATCTTGGACACAAAGTATTATCATTCTGCAATAAAAACCAAGAGCCACAGTTCATGATTTTCTTAGAACTAGATGGATAATGCACATAGATTCACATAGAGTGATCTTTTTCCTTAATCTTCAACACAGGGGAAAGAATTAACTAAAGTACTATACTTTTTCAGAAACAAAATGTGTATATATCATTTCTTTTTAAAAATATACATCATAAAAGAAATTTGGCAATTCAGTATAAGTGAACTGCTGCCACACTTCCAGAGTTATAGCAAATATGGTTCAATTCCCTGTAGTAGACATAGAGGATTCCTTGCTTGTTTGGGGTTTTTTTGTTTGCCTGTTTGTTTTTTAACCATTTAAGAGCCTACAACAATAAATAAGTATTTCATAGACAGAGGATTATTTCCACAAATGAACTGCTCAATTCCCAGGGAGTCTCCCACCCAGAAGCTGCAGGCTGGAAGGCCACATTTGAAGTAACACTTCTCTAGAGTTAGTATCACTCTCATTCTTGCTTATAAACCAAAACTTGACCTAAGTATTAATATTTACCTTAGTACTCCAGGAAGACCAGTTTGAGTCTTAAGAAACTTGGCAGCCTTTAGTCTTGACTCAACCCAAACTAACAAAAAAAGTTATCCTCTCCATGCCCTATCCGCTGCTTGAGCAAGTTATCTTTTCTGGGAACTTACCTCCGAGGTAGCCTCGATCAAGCTCAGCCCTTTTTCTCGAGGTTGGAATCTCTCTTCCTGTTCTAGATAGAGGTTTAACAATCCGAAGAGCTGGACCCCTTCACGACCTGCCAAGTACTCTGCCCCAAAATCCTTCATCTGCAGCAAAGACACCACAAAGTTAAGAGTGTATCCTGGGGAAGGCGGGGGTAGGAGGGGAGAGGCGGGGGTAGGAGAGGGCAGAAAAGAGCCGGTGCCAATACCTCCAACGAGGGGCGCCCCAGCACACAAGGGCGGGGAACGGGTGAGGGGCTCAGTCACGTCCCCAGCACAATCCTACCCCACTACCCGGGAGGTGTGGCATGGGGAGGAGACGCGGTCACGTCCGCTGGCCAGTTCTGGGTCAGACCGGCCAGCCCTGTCTTCCCAGCCGTTCCACAAACAGGAAACTATCCCCGGACGGTGGTGTCCTGAGGGCCCGCCCCACTTGAAGACGCAGGGAAAGAAGCTTCTACCCCGTGGAAAGGACCGGGGGGCAGCGTTTTGGGGGTGCGGGCTTTGCACAATAGGGAGGAAGAGAGAGAAAATCTCGCGACTGAACAAAGAACCGGAGGGCGGAGACTGGAGCCCCGCCCCTTCCAGGAGCCCGGCTCCAAAAGCCCCTCTCGCAGGAGTGCAGCCCCCGAGCCTTCCCCATCCGCTTGGGCAGCGCCCACGCCGGATGTACTCCCGTGACAAAGTCCCCGGTCCGCAAGAACGGTGGAGTGGCGCGGCCCACTCGGTGGGGGACAAAAGTCCAGTCCGCCCTGTGTCCTGACAACACGGGTCCAATCACTGATGCCCCTGTTCTGCAACTGCGCGGAGCCCCGGGGCTGTCAATTCAAGAAGCACCACTCCAGCGAACCCCCGTGACAAAATTGGGGCGGGGGAGAGGAGCCAAAGAATTGTTTTGGGCCTCCTTGACTCTCCATCCATCTCGACAGCATCTCCCCAAATCGAGGCGCCCACTCCTCGGGAGGGGGCTGAGGACAGGGCCGGAGTCGCTCCCGGGGCTGAGGAGTGGGCATTCTGATGCCAACCCTCCCCGCGCCCCCAGTCTCGACCATGAACAAAGAAACCCCGCGACCCCGGGTAGGCCCACTCACCGTGCCGGAGACGCGGTCCGGAGGGGACTCGGCGCGGCGGTGGCGTCCGGACCTGTCTCCGAGGTCGAGCACCCGCCGCCTCAGCGGTGCCCCCGGACCAGCATCGGCCCCACTCCCCAGTCACAGCCTCCTCGGCCTCACAGCCCCGGCTTCATCCCGCTGCCCGCGCGCCCACCCTCCGCCCGGGCGCAGCGCCGGCCTCTCGAGCCCTGACCCTCTATGGGCGCCACGGCCACTGCCGAGAGCCAACCAAACCCCTTGTTTTTGTTTTGAGTTTTCGCCCCCCCGTGGGGCGGGGCACGTGACTCCCTGCGGAGGGATCCGCCACTGCCGCGACAGACTTCGAAAAAGAGTCCCGCACCTCATCAATGTCCCCAGCCGGTTTTCTAGCCTTCTCGGCTGGCTGTTGCTTTGCTGAGCCACTCCTCGCTCTCGGTTCCAGGGCGGAGGGTGGAATCTGAGGTCGGCTTTATTCTGAGATTGATCCGGAGGGAAAGGAAAAGGAGTGACAGGGGTGAGAAGCGGAAGGAGATGGTTTCTGGCCGCTTTGCACCTTTTAAAGATCCCTGATTTGTTTTGTTTTCTCTGTTTTGAAAAATCCGCCCAAAGTAGCCGGCTCTCTGATTGGATACCGGTGGGGCGAGCAGAAAGCTGAGGACCTGCTTCACTCTCGAATCTGGATTGGCTAACTGAGATTAGTCTTTGAGCCTTCTGATTGGTTTTCGCCATATCCTGCGCCTCAATCTTCCTCGGGGCCTTAGCAACTCTGGGGTCTGAATTGCGCATGACTTTGGAGGGGGCCCCTTTGAAGGAATTCAAGGACCTGTCCCTGGGGTTTATTCCTTGCCATCCGCCACCTCCACTGGTCCCGGAGGAATGGCATGCTCTTTACGTTACCTTTTCATTTTGTCTTGCGGATCCATTTTGCGATAACCAATCTAGTTATAAAAATTTCAGGATGCTTACTGAAATATTTACGAGTAAAATGCTATCATCTTTGGCATTTGCTTTAAAGTTTTTCCGGCCAAGAAGGAAAAAAATGGAGAGGATAGGTGAAAGACAATTACAAAAAGTTAAGAGTTGTTGAAAGTGAGTGATGGGTACTAGAGGGTTTTTCTGCTTCTGTGTACTTTGAAATTTTTCCGAAATAAAAAAATGTTTACTGAAGGGACTTTTTAAAAAATTTACTGATGCACATTGACGAGGACACAAGTCTAATAATTATAATAGTGTATCCCCAGAGGTTGTAATTGTGCTGTTGTAATTGTGCTGTTGAAGACTCCAAGAGGCTTCTTGGTCCGTGGTCACCTGTAAATTATCATTTAATTCCATTATAATTAGCGTTATTATTAATAGGTGACACCTCTCCTGAGGCGGGGCAAAAAGCAAAGCAAAGGATGCCTTGGGCTGGAGAAACTTTCACAGGGAATGTCTTTGATGAAAGTAAGAGACTTCTTTTCCACATTTATAGTTAACTTTCTTTACTTTTTCCGTCCTGTTCCCCGCCGCCATCAGCCAAACACACAAATCAGTAAAGAGCACATTCTTTGAGTTCTAATCTAAATAATCAGATAGCCCCTAGGAACAGATTTCTCTTTTCTGCTCTTCTGCATGTTTTCTGTGAATTGTTTTGTTACTTGTAAAAATATGAGAAGGCACAACAGCTTTAGCAGCATTCTCTTCTTTCCAGAGCAGCAAAGGAATTTTAGAAATAGACCCCTTTGCATATTAACTGGAACTAGACACAGGCATCTGGAGCACAGAGCAACTGTGGGAAGGGGAGCTCAAAGAGCTAATCCTATTTCAGAGAGGCGTGGCCTTGTTCAGGGTTTTAGAATATCAATAAAATTTCATTAACAGACTAATTTTAAGTGATTTATAGGTTACGTAATTCTATTCAATGCTTCTTTGATCTTTTAAACATTATTAAAACTCTTATTTGACATAAATCTTTTGCTGGAAATCTATGCTAAAAAACATGAGGCTGCAACTAACATGGAAAATATAGCTAATATTAGAATTACGTAGATGACAGCTCATTGTGTAGTATATAAAGAGGCTCTGTGGACAAAGTCCAGGACAGAAAGCAGCTGGATGGAAAACATCATGAGAGAAAGGAGAGTTTTGTGAGGAAAACATAAAGGAGACTTTTTTTTCTCAGTTGAAGATCAAAGGTAGAAAAGGAACATAAGATATAAAATAAGTGATGTGAAAGAGGAAATTTAAAATTATGTGGTAGAAGATTTTTAAAATAATAGAGAAGATGTAAGACAAAGGAGATAAATTGTCCTTTAATTAGTTTACTGTTATATAGTCATACAAAATGTATACTACATATTTTATGTATCTTTTAACAGGAAGTCTCTCGAATAGCAGTTCTCTTAGAAGTAAGAAGAGAAAGCTTTGCAAGTGTTGTTAAATTTCTTGCTCCTGTCAGGCTCTGTCCAGTACAGAAAAGATAATCATATTGTCCAATATATAGTCCTTTATCCACTTTCATCCACTTATCTTTTTAAGATAAAGGAAAGCAATCATTAAAAAATATTGGTTCAGTAGTTATAACATCCTTTTTTTCAAAATACCTCCTTTTAACAATGATGATATTCTAGGGTAAAAAAAAATGATGTAATTTTTCTCTTTACTGTGCTGATTTTTTTTTTTGGTTGATAATAAAAAATGTTTACTGAAGGAATAATATACTCCTTATTTTTAATTTTTGAAACATTTTTTATATTTTAAAGACAGTCCTTCGCCAGGCTCTATTTATCTGTCCTTTTCACTTTGGCTTACTTCGTTGCAGCTTTAGGTGTTTTCTTTAAGAAGGCATTCTCCCCTAGGCTAATCTCCCCTAGCTTTACCTATCAGCTACCTTTCAGTCTTTCCTAAACTTTCTCTTGGGTGACTTTTCTGCATGGTGCACACATACTAATAGGGAATCAGAAACTTGGCAGTTCCCAAAAAGAACTTTAAGGGGATTTATTTCATTATAAGATACTTGGTCTTCTATATAAGTGATAGAGGTATAGTAAGATTAGGTGATACTCTTCCCCCAGTAACTCCATGAAAGCCTGACAGGGAACCTGTTGTCCTCAGTGACATCTGAGACTGTGAAATTAGAAGGTGGGCACAGAGCAGGAAAAAGCAGCAGCATAACAACAGAGAAAACAGTGCCTTCATTCAGTGAAGTGTAGATTCTGAGGCGTGCCCTTCAAACCTACTCATACTTGTGCTTCTACCTTGAAAAGAAAATAGGGCATTTCCAAGTGGCAGCTACAGTGCTTTCCTAAATGCCTAATACTTGGACTTCCCAAAACTTTTTAAGGAAGGCATCAAAATACCCTAACGACTTTCCAGAGACCATCTTTCAACCCACAGATGATAGTTTTAGACAAAAATCCTAGCTTTTTTTTCAACAGACAGTTAATAAATACACACTAGATGCCAGGCATGGTACGAGGCCTCAGGGATACAAAAACATAAATAAAACACAGTCCCAGAATATACCCTTGCACATCTGAGATATAAGAACAAAAGCTCTAGCTGGGGGATCAAAATGCCTGAAGTTGAGTCCAGCTTTCCTGTTCACTAGAGATAGTACCTTGAATGTCGAAGAGCTTGAATTATTTTGAGCATCAGCTTTCTAATCTGAAAAAGCAAATGAACAAATGAGGAGTGGGAGTTTTCCCAGGGGTAGTTGTTTTCTACTGCACATGCAAAGATTAAATACCAACATTTGTAAAAGCACTTTTAGTTATATATGCCTAGGCTGTTGAGACATTCACAGTGCTGTGACTTCAAGAAATGAAAATAAGAGATCGGTCCTGACCTCTCAAAGAATCTGGTGGAAAGCAGCCCCAAAAGGAAAGAACCTCTGCATAGGTACTGGTAAAGCTGACATAAGGCCCCACTCCTTCCCCTCTACCCTTTCTGGCTCCCTGCCTAAGCACGTTTTCTGTTACTAAGGGTGGTTTACAGCCCCAAACTTCCTTGCTAGCAGAACCTGCACAGGAGACAGGAATGCTTGTTGGAGGGAGAGGCTCAGGGAAGGCATAACCTAATCCAGGGTGCCATCTTGAAATGATTTATATTTTTCAACCAAAAACTCATTTTTTAAATCTGAACTTGAAAGAATGAGACAATTTATATGCAAAATTAATCCCTTTGTTCAAGCAATCAGTAAACATCTCACATATTCTCCTTTCTGACTTTCTCCTGGAGAAGACCTCAAATCTGAAATAAGCAAACCCAACATTTTACAACCTATTTACATATAGATATTTCGTTCCTATTGTTGTTAATGACAGACTATGCTGTGTGTGTCCCAGGGAGTGTTAATTTATCTATACAAGAATTAGTGATATTCATGACACAGTTAATTCCCACATATTGATGTCTCAGCTTTGGAATCGTGGGAATTATCCACACCGTAGAGACCACATGAATGACCACAGCAGGGGTTTCTCCAGTCAACCAGGTCAGCCCCTCCCAGTTCTACTAGCCTGCAAGTAGGTTAGCCTTGTGCAAAACTATCTCTGAAACCAGAGAACTCAATTGACTCTGTGGCCCAACTCATTACTTTAGTATCCAGAGCTCCTTCTGTTATAAAAAGTCAATGAAATAAATGGAGTAGATTTGATATGTTGTGGAAAGACTGGTTAAGGAGAGTGCAACTGAGATTATGGTGATTCCTGAAATCAGAGCTGATGACCTCAAAATGGTGGGTCTATCCTGAAGCAAATATATTTTAAGTGGACCAGACTGCATTCTGGGACATTGTACATTATTATTTACATAATACATTCTTCTTTTATGATGTGTTCCAAGAACCATAACCGAAATCCGATATTGCCTATCTTTTCTTGACATCTGTTGAATATATCATCTTCTTCATAAAGGAAGTTTTCATTTTCTGTGAAAGT